ACACCCAAAAGTCCTGAAGCCCCCAGAGTCCCCTCTAGACACCCAAAAGCAGTCCCTGCCAGTGCTCAAATCGATGACGAGCCAAACCATGAGAGTGGAGGCACAACAAATGGCCACAGTCTGCGGGAAGCCAAGCAGCGAGATCCAGCCATACGGAGGGTCGTGGATATGAAGCTGGATGGTCCCAAGAGGATGAGTCGTAGCAAGATGGCCTATGAGCCCAAGGTGGTGCAGCAGTTGCTACAGGTACGGGATAACCTGGAAGTGAAGGGTGACCTACTGTTTTACAGGACTGGTGGAGCCAATGTCAAATACATGTACTTGACGGTACTACCCCATGGGATGAGGTATGACATCTTCAGGAGCCTTCATCACAGTATGGAGACACTCAGCTATGGACAGGTGCTAAAACTCGTGTAGCAGAAGTTCTTTTGGCCCAAGCTTCACAATGAGACCATGGCGTACATGAGGCAACACCGGAAGCAGATGTCCACTCCTGCCATTCCTCCACCAGAGGAGTTCTGAGACTAATGTACATTATGAGTCGCTAAATACTAGTTGTGTTTCTAAATGCCTGAATGTATCTGGTTGGTGCTTTGAATTTAATAATAGAATGATACCTGTCGTTAAGTTATGCTGTATAATATGTGTATTGATATTTGTATTAAACTCAGTTCTATTTGCGTTGCTGAGGACAGCAATGATTTAAGATGGGGCGAGTGCCCCCCTGTTAATTTGTTTAAGCCCTAGCTTCCCCCATATATGTTACCACATGGTCTGGTCACACTCAGTGTAGCAGATCAGCAGAGACCACTCACCTCTACATGTACATGTACCTATGTATTGTTCCTCCTAACTGGAGTGTGGTTTTTCTGCTTGAGCCCTATTCTGCTAGGAGTCAGTGATTGAAGTCTGAGTGTAAACTCATAAGGTCCATTTTACGCACTGTGCTGGGTTTTGGGTTTGGCTTTGAGTCTTTTGAAATCTAAGTCTTTGGGTGTTTTTAGTCCTTGAGTCCTTTTAGTTTTTTTCATTTTTCCTGTACTTTTTCATTAATAAATTTTTTTTGTCCCTTTTTTGAAGTCAAATATTAGTGTCTGAGTCCTTATTAATTCAGTTTCCTGCGACTTTTCCTTCAAAGATCCTTGGTTTAGTTAGAGTTTTTGTTGTTTTGCGGTCTTCCCCCAGAGTTGTCTTCTTCTAGTGTTCCATTTTTGCAGGTTACATACGCATTGAAACCGAGGCTCTCTGGGTTGAACTTCGTCGTACGCGCCTGCGGAGTCCACACAGTACATGCAGTATCCGGTTCGTAAGTGTGACGCCACTTCAGTTTAAACTACGCCCACTGCACATGCAGATACACGACCATCGCAGGTAGATTGTACGTTAGTTTGCGGTAAATTGCCTTATTTTTTCTTTTGATTTTACGTGTCGAGTCATCCTGACAGACTCTTCCACAAAAACTTGCAGCCTGAAAAGTCTGTACATGTACCTTTAGGTATTTTGTTTCTTGACTCCTTACTTTCAATCGTCTGATCGTATTAAGAATTGAAGCTGACACATACAGCCTCGTTTTCAAAGTGCACAAATCAACACTATAAAAGCCCCGTATTGGGATTCCTCTATTGCCTCCTCAATGCCAAGAAGGCTTGCCCATTTCCAGTACATGTACATTGTACTAGTACATGTAGCTTGCTTTATACAAGTACACACCGCCGAAATGTTATACAGACTCATGATGTACATACGCAGCATGTGTTAAAATCACGTAGACATGGATAGTGTTGTAAATATGAGTGCACCATGTAAAATGCATTTAAAGAAAACGAAAAAAAAACCGCATGTATTCAAGTCCAGTTCCAGCAATGAATCATTCTAAAATCTGGGGAGGTTGAGCATACTTGACTGCTACCGTACTTTCCCCCCAAACTACTCACTATATTGCCACCTACGTACAAACTTCTAAACAATGTAAATGAAGATTTTGGAATGCAGTAGGCTTAATAATAGACTCAATTATCATCAAGCATCAAGTTGTCTGATAACATGCACCAAGCATCAGAACAATTTTGACTGTTCAAATTGCGAACAGTTTTGAATGTTTAAGCACAACAACATCTGAAATCTAAATCCCATCAAATTTGAACTGGCTCCTTGAACCTGCCACTTCATGACTCTGTATTTTCTTTACAACCTGTTCACGTGTGTAAGAGAGAATATCAGGCTCCTCTGGCAGCTTCCAGAAGTTTCCTGCTCTTTGCATTACTTTAACCTCTGTTTCATCCCCAACAATATTCACAACTTCTCCAGGATAGACATCCTCATCGTACTTGACAAAAAGTCAATCACCAACTACCCAAGTTGTGTTCTTGTTACAAGCTGTTTTGTATTGAATGGACACATCGAGTTCAAAACTTGTACTTTCTGTGTGCCAAATGCTAACTGTGCCTGTAGGAGTTGCTGTCATCTTGTGTATTTTATTGATGCCGGGCACTGGAATGACACCCGCCGACGGCTGTGCTTCTTTGAGCACATTGTTTATTTCATCTTGTGAGATATGCTTGACTTTGGTTTTTGCCATTCGTGCAGCGGCTTCAAGAGCAAAGTCTTCTGAATTCTGAACAACAGGGGCATCAGCACTTTTACTCATGAAAGCTTGACTTACAAGGGATTTAAACACGACCGCCAATGCCATCTACAACCCCTTTGCTACGAGAAGTGGCGAAGTGTTGCCACTCAAATGTTTGACCGTTACCAAAAAAAAAAAAAAATCTTTGCCTTTGTCCCTTGAGTTGGAGACAATCACGTGAGATTCACAGCTGCCATTTTGCATGCTTTGTTCACATGATTGACATGTGGTGGATACACACAGCTGTACTTCCACACATAGTGCATGAAATGTGGAGAGAAGCACAGTTACAGAAATGCATGTCACACACGTAACCATCAATGTCACACACGTAACTGATGACCAGTTACGTGTGTGACACATTAATTAAGGTCATATAGTAAGGCCTGACAAAATTAGCTTTTGACACAAAGTTTGAACATTACTGATATAGCGCTTAGTCGTAGTACAAAACTTTATCATTATTTCAGTTACGTGTGTGACACGGAAAGTCGTTAATTTCTTCATTAAATACTGACTTATTCTGACAAAAAAAATGTTTTATGTTTGATTTCAAATTAATGCATGTACATGTAAGTTAGGGGCACTCATCAAAACAGGTAAATATTTATAACAAAAGTGCATGCTAAAAAATCTGACAGTAAATTTAGGGATAAAAATCACATTTTAAACAGAAAAATTAAGTTTACGCTAATTAATGCAAATTATGGAGATTTGTTGGAAAACTTTAAAAAACAAAAGTGGCTCAATTAACTTCAGGCATTGCTTTCTTATAAACAAACAACAAAAAGTAAATATCATCAACTTCATTTTTTTCTAAAAAGTTTCAAATTCCAAAGAATGGCCCGAAACAGGCTGATTTTGCCATTCCTTGAGCTGATAACTTCAACAAAAATACATAAATCCTCCAGAGAAAACTTTTGACATTAATACTTTACTTCATACATGTATTTGTGTGTTTTTTCTTTCAGAAACAAAACAAAGATTTGATTACTTATGAAATGCAAATGTCTCTCCATTAAAAATTTGTAACATGTTTGTCACAACCATGTATTTTTTCCTCTCTACATGTAAATGTGAAACTCTCGACAAATCTTATGAGCGCATGTACATTTATTACAAACCAAATTAACTAAAACAATTAACAACATGTACCGGTATCCTTTGGGCAAAAGTCTGTTCAATTTATTGAAAAGAAAGTAAGACGACTTTCTGTCCCCAGGTTATGATATACATGTATGTACCCGGTATGTGACAAATGTTACATCTGTCCACGTAACAAACGTTACTCATTGAGAAAACGTATGCTGAAGTTTAGGCCTTTTTAACAAAAATTATTTTGAAAACTGAAAACAAACAAGTTTGGCTTGTGACCAATTCTATTTCATTCAAATTCAAACCAAAAAAATGTCAGTCCAAGTGACATACGTGATGTCTGTCCAGTGACAAACGTGAAGTCTGTCCAGTGACAAACGTGATGTCTGTCAGTGACAAATGTTACATGTACTGTACCAGTACCTTGTATTCATGAAATTTATTTCAGTGTTACACCTACAGTACATGTACCGTGCATGTATACATGTTGTTTTTCTGAGATTATGAAGGTTTTTAAAAATAAACTAGATTGCATACACTGTACATGATAATCAAGCATATTTTGAATCTCATTTTCATATTTAAGAAACAAAGTACAGTACATGTACATGTACATACCGGTATGTACAGTATCTTTACCTTTCTCTGGTAACAATCAGAAACAATGAAGACATACATACTAGTACAATAAGCAAATTTTGGCAAAATTCTACAGTTGGAAATTTGTATCGAGTGTCACACAGATGCACGTTTTAGTGTGGATATATAGACCCATGTACCATACATGTTGTACTTCATGGCTGCATGGAGAAGGGCTGAAAACTGTTACACAAGTCGTTACACAAGTCATGTACATGTTATAATGACATCAAACAATACTAATTGATCCTTTTATTTTGCATACAATATACAGTGTACATGTACATGTACACGTGCACACTGGTAGACAAAGTCCACTCCCTTTACCCATCTCAACCACACAAAATCGGATCCTCTTTTCATAGGTCGTTAGCTTAATTTAATCACACAGTCATTTATGCTGAACACACGATGCAAAAGTGTCATCTGTCACTGTATTTCCATGGCAACCTCATCCAGCACCAGCAAAAGGCCGCCTTAGTATTAATCAAAGAAGCCAGTCATTTCCAGCGCACTGCAGCCCCCACGCCAATGAAACAGCCTCAAAGAATTATGCTGAAGTCCACCAGCCAGCATAAATTCCCATACATGTACCGGTAGATGTACATTTGTTGAAAAGGAAGTGTGATCCAAATCAATGTTCATACATGTACATGTTTTAATGTGCAACATCCTTATTTTGAGCTTTCCTACATTAATGCGCATGAACATGTATAGGTTATTTTTATATTTTCAGTCAGAGTTTTCTGCATTTTTCAAAAATCAAACTGGGAGAAAGGAAACTCCAGAATTTTCTACCACAGTTTCATACTATGCTAAGAATGCTGAGATTGAGGTCATTAAAGAAATACATACACGTACATTGAGACAATCTCTCAATCAAGGGTTGTAGGCAGTTTTAAGCAGAAACAGTCTTTGGAAAACATGTACGGTGCCAATACACTGCATTTTCACTTGGTGAAGTGAGGGATATTCGGAGCAATTTTTAGTTACATTAATTGTACATTGCATGCATGACTTTTGAACTGCAAAGCAATCCCTGAATGGGCTAAATTACCTTAAGAATTGCTGAATAATGGCTATTATCAAAAACAACAAACTACAGTTTACAATGAAGGACTGAAAAAACTATATGCTTGGCCAGTCTTCAATGTGCATTAATTAAAGACCAGCACTGCGGCTTGGATATTATCAGCATTCACTCTCCTGAGCACATAGCCTTTTTATTCCTATTCATGAATACCTTTTTAGGCAGAGAGTCAAAAGAAGTCAACATACAATGAATTTCTAACAATTTTGTCCAAGAATTTTTCTTTCCTTTTCCCCAACACCCCTGTCCATCTTATGGTATATTCCTACAGCAAGTTGTCCAACAGATTCTCCTTATACGTGTGGCGAGCCGCGTGCACACAGACTCTTGACCAATCAGAATCGATTAAACCGTCTCACATCAGGGTGCCAGCACGTGATTAACGTAGCAGGCATTGTCACTTCTCAGCGGGCATTATCAAATAATGTACAGTTAATATACAGTCAAGTTGCAAGTTGTTGAATGGGGACACTACTTGAGGAATTTATGAATGTCGTTTACTGTATGGTGTTACACGTACACAGTATGCATTTAAGTGGTACATGTACATGTACTTGCAAAAATTCTACTGCAGTTGTTCAATATTACTCGTGGACATTTTGGCCTTCACTTTGACCATTCCAACTTTTGCATCTTGTCAGCTTTTATTAATTTCATGGATATCTGATATACATGTACACACATGAATGCATAAGCAGCTCCTGCTCTTTTCTTTTTCTTTTAGTACTTTTATTTGTTTCACCAAACAGGATTGTTTCCAGAGAGAAATCACTGTGACGATACTGTGTCTATCTACATGTGCCGCAATCAATTTCTTTTTTCTTTTTTTTGGGGGGGTCATTATGAATATACGTACCGGTAGGTACACGTGGAGGGGAAATGCAGTTAGCATGAATGACGTACATGCACACTACAAATGCGTATGTTCATGCACAATACCTGGATTTGGCATGTACATGTACATTCAAATTACTAGTAACTTACCGTACATGTAAATGTACTTGTATAAGGAAAATGTTTTTTTTTGTTATTGTTGTTTTCTGGGACAAGCATTACCCCTTCCTGGCAAAATATGCGTACATGGAAATTGATACATTTTTGTAAGTACATGTACAGTTTTCAATTATTTGTTTTGCTTTTTTCTCTTGAAGTCAATCGCTCTCTGACGAGGAAGAAAAGTGTAAGAAACATCAACTTGTTTTGTACATACATGTACACGTACGTGTATACTTTCAAGAAAAACACATACACATGTACATAGCCTACCTGTCCTTCACTGACGGTGACTTCAGCGGGAGAGAAGCCCAGTTTGGTAAGGCCTATCCGAACCGTGTCAGTTGTGCCCGTGTTTCCTAAAAGGAAGGTGACAAGTGGAAGCCTACTGTTACTGTTACATGTATGAACAAGAGTCAGAGGTACAACTCCGTACATGCGTTAGCATTCACACACTACGTAGGTGTGACGGAGTACCGGTAGTGATCCGGCCCACGGTAACAGCATTGTGGAGAGGTAAATGTACACAAACAAAATCTTTTCCACTAAACATGATACAGGTAAATGCGAATAAAATTTTAAGATCAGAGCTGAGCTCTATTTTCATCTTCCTTCCATCTGACCAAGGGTAATCTCAGAGATGAATACTATACAAAATAGTGTACACGTATCAGGGTGTTATGATATTTACAACAGTTGGGCAAACTTTGTAACACATCTTGTAAATCTTTCCATCCAAAAATATCTTGTAAATCTTTCCATCCAAAAATAGTAGGCCTACTGTAGCCAAACTCAGAAAGTCAACACTCATTTGTTGAAACCTCAAAAGTAACATACATGTACATGTACCCGTACATGGACATGACAATCAAACATTTGGAAAGGAAAAATTCGTAAATTTCAATGAATTTTCTTTTGATTGCCACCAAAGCAATAAACACTGATAAATGGTAACCAAAAACTCAAGATTAAAATATATGCCAAACAAAAAGGAAACCAAACGTTTAAAAAAGAAAAAAAAAAGCACCTCTCTGAAAATCATTTGAATGAGGAATACGCTGTGCATCTCCCCCAAACCGATCAGCCAACCCCGGCAAGTTTGCTGGTTGAGTGGTTAAAACATCTGAATTGGTAAACAGGCAGTGATGGGTTCGAGTTCAACCCGAGTGCTGTGAATATTTTTGCAAGCTCTTGAAACCACCAAGTACACAGTGTTATAGATATACATGTACAACAGTGTAATCTGAGCAGAACCCATGATTAAAAAGTAACATCTCCCAAATGCAAAGGGCACCCTGTTACATCTGGCTTGAACCAGCCGACCCTGGCATGCTTGGTGGTCCAGTGGTTAAGACATCTGCACTAATAAGTACGAGGTCATGGGTTTGATTCCCTCCAAGTACATGTACATGTACGGTACATAAGTTTGAATGCTGAACTTTTTGGCTAGCTCTCAGAAAACACCCCTTGTACATAAGTGTAACCTTGAGCAAAACCTACATGTACATTTTGCGCCAAAAAAACACCACCTGAACTTCATATCTGTACCTTTCTTGGGAGGGTGCAACTTTGAGGCCCGGTTGCTGTCACTATTCTTCTTGGATTTGTGGGTTGGCATGAGAGTTGCCGCAGTATCTTTGGAGGCTCCCGTCCCCATCGTGTGTTTGGATGTGTGTGAGTGCGGTAGTGTGGGCTTTCCCCTCAGCTCACACACCAGGGATGCTTGGAATCAGTGCATCTGGATGCACACTGACTGCAGGCCTAGTCAGTCTGTGGCAGGTCATCCTGACCAATCAGTTGCCCGGTAACCGGTGTGTGTGTGTGTGGATATATCTGTAATGAGGAAGATGAAACAGAGGCAATTGATGGGAAACTAACACAAGAAAAAAAACTGTGCCAGTACATAAAAATATATCAACCAAACATGAAAATCATAGAAAAAGACAATAATAACGTACTTTTGAAACAAGGAAATGGATAAAACAGGCATTGATGAAATACATGTAGAAAACAAAAGAATTTCTAACTATTTTCAGAAAAACAGAAAAAAATTATGAAAAATGCCTTTATACATGTATGGTACACTTATACCAAGTATACAAGAAATAGTAGTATGTACATATAACTCTATACCTTTAATACACTGGATAATGACCCTACCATGTATGGTATAAATGTACAAACCTATATGGATGTACATGCAGCAGATGTTTATATCTGAATCTACATGTAGTAATCATATTAAGTACTGCTCTGCCACATGTATACAGCCACAGCACAAGGTGTTTAGTTGGTATTAGAAGTTTATCATCACCAGGGTATAAGAAAAATTATTTTCCACTGACATCAATTCTTTCATTTTATTATGGTGATGTCTATTTTTACTTATTGGCTTTCTTCAGTTGGAAATGGAAAATACTTGTACATGTATGTATGTACATGTAAAATGCACATGTAGGTACATGCACATGTAAATTAAAACATGGCTAAATTTACAACGAAATAAAGGCAAACTGTTGTCTGCTTAAATTTATCCCCTATAATGTAAACATCAGAACCGGCTTCAACTGTTACCAAAGAAAAATGGATAAAAATCAATCATGTTTTCTATTTTTTTGCAATTACTCAAAGTGATTAATCTTAAACCCAAATTACATTCATTTTTTACACAAACATTGTTTCTTTTTCCCCTAACTGGTACATTAAATGTTCAACTACCGGTAAGACCAGAGTTGTACTGTACACATGTTGTTTGTACAACCGGTGCTATTACATCTTAAAACATAGATCTCCAAGTCGAAACATTTTTCTCTTTCCATGAACATGTACATGTACGCCCCTACGGTATATCAATGCCTAGAAGCAGCTGTGTACATTACACCTGTCAAGGGGGTACAAATTGGACAGGCTGTGTCAATCACATCTGGAGCACTCAAAGAAACCCTCAGCTCATTAGTGCACACGTACATGTACATCTACTGTATGTGTAGCAATACAGGCATGAGAGTAGCTGTATTGTACGCAAACAACAATTTGCCTGGCAACCTGGTTCATATACATTGTACATACGCACTAGGAACAGCGTCAGTGTTTGATTACGTTGTTTGCGACGGGGCTGCAATTAGCAAGCTGTCAAGCACAGTCGCAAGAGCTCTGATCACTGTAATTGTCATAATTACGCTCAGTACATGCCACGGAGGAATTCCTTCCCATTGATGTGTATGTAGATAATGTACAATGTGCTAATGTGTACACTTGCAGTAAGTGTACACGGTGTATAGCAATACATTCAGTAAGTCTGCATAATGGCTGTAACCACATTTGTTGCATTTTTACGATGTACTTGTGCCATCGGGGAAACCGGCGTTAATTGGAAAGAGCTTGCTCTTGAGCACTTCCCCTTTGTCAAAATTAGATGGGCATCCATGGTTTACTTAAAAAGAGAAATTTCGGCGGGATCCAATTTGGAAATTTCAATTTGAATGGTTTCAATTTAAGTACACATCCTTTATCCCTGTGTAGAAGTGCTGGTAATTTTATTATTGGAGAACACTTGAATGAAATATTTATCAGTGGAAATACATGTAACAGGGCCACTTCATTAGGGTTTCTTTCCACTTGATGACAGCTCAGCAAAACTCAGGCCAAATTTTTCTGTCAGGAACATGACCAAATGGCAAGCCTTGTGCCCATTTTCACCCACTGGGTTTTTTAAAAACCAGTCTGACTGTGGAAGCAGACACTTCCAAACAGCTGCCCTCGACAGTCTGTGTGTTTCTGGTGGGGTGAAATTTTTCTTGTTGGCCTTACAAATGAATGTGGAGTTCAACGAGTTTACTCTTTGTACAATGTACAGGCATGCAATTTGGACTGACAAAAAAAATGAGGAAATCCCAATCTTTACAAGACTTTGTAGTGTTTTCCAATTTCTAATGACATGAAGTGTGAAGTGAATAACAAGGAAATTCAGCTGATCCAAGGAAAACTTGCACGTCTGAATGTATCCTGCAAGTGTAACTGGTACATGTAGCTTTAACATCCATCACCCAGACCTTAGCTACTGAACTACAACTACTGTACATGTACCATGCTGAATGAACCTGCAAAAGCACAGTATTGGTTTTGTTTTTCATACTGATGACTTACACTGTATTGCAGATTGAGAATGCCCACTTTGTGAGAGGACTGAATCGGGGCCACACCTACCTGTACACGTACATTTCACTCAATATATGTATATGTGCAACAGTGGCATATCCAGATCTAGGGTGCATTAGTAGGAAGGGCAGTAGAATGAATTATTTTCTAAAAATGACTATCCAAATTTTTTGTCTATCGAGCAATAGACCCTTCCACTAATAAATACTAATTTGCGTGCCCATGCACATACATGTAAATGGCATGAGGAGGCAAAAAGCTTGAGCGGCCCACAAATGTACAGGGGCACAAATTTCAAGGTCATTTTCTCTCAGCTTCTGCCCTTTTTTCTACTGTAGTCTTCAGAAAACCCTCTGAAACTAATATACTGTAGCTATCAATTTCTGGTGTGAGAGGAAATGTTGGAGAGCAAAAAAGAAAACTTGAAAAATTTTGTTCATTTGAAGAGCACGAGGGCTAAATTAAGAAAGCAGTAGGGTTTTGCTCTATATGAGCCGTAGAACAAATTGTGTGATATGTTAGGGTACCATCCAGCACTCTCAGTCGATGACGTACGTAGCGAAACAAACCTAACCCTGCCTAAAGCTAGCCCACATTACACCCTGCGTTGAGCCCATAATTCAGCTACTGTACATGTACATGTAGTATGAGTGGTGCATAGTACCCTGGAAGTGTATTGAATAAGCTTTTTCGAGTTAAATTTGAATAAAATCTGGTAAACTGAGTTATCTGATTACATATAATCATAACAGTTTGAATTTCTGCGAGACTAAAGACACCATTGCTATACAGACGTGATTCGGGGCAAGCTTTTGCATCCTTGGAATGGTCTGGTTCCTTTGTGTCCTTCTTATCCACTGCAAACAGTGTATTGAGGAAAGGTGGCTCTTATTAACAAGGAAAAGCCTGCCCCAAATTACGACATATGGCAACAGTGTCTCTAGTATATATACAGAGAATTCAAATTGTTCTGTCCACATGAATTTAATGAACTCAGTGTACCAGATTTTATTCAAATTTAACTTCCTGAAGTCTTATTGGACATGGTCGTAAAGGAGCCCTGTCAATTTCTTTTGCCCTCATGCGCTCGGGGAGAAAGAAGCTACTGGGTTTTTTTTTTTATTCAGTCCAGTGTAAAACCCTTTTAGACCAGAAAGTAATTTAGCTACATGTATAATAATTTCAGAGGGTTTTCCGAAGACAAAAGTGACAAAAAGTGCAGAAGCTGAGAGGAAAAGATAATGCAATTTGTGCCCCAGTACATTCCCAATGGGCCGCTCCAGCTTTTTGCCTCCGCATGCCGTTTGTGCGCATGTGCACATAAATTAGAATTTATCAGGAGAAGAGTCTATCCTTATTCCTGCCTACCCTGAAGGCAATTCAAGTATGTACATATACCATGTGTACACACATATATGATGTGCATGTGTACATGTACCGTATAGTTTGCTGGCACTTTCATTTAAATAAAGGATTAAAAAACTTTTGCTCGTACATTTTTCTACCTTTTTCTGGTACATATTGCTATTCATGTACAAAGTAGGTGCACCATGCTCAAACAGCGACATGTACATGTAAATGCGTCAGCTCAAACTGCCTAAGCTATAAACATACACGTCCATGTACAATATGTGTATCAAAATAGTTGTTGCTAAATGCATGTGTGATACATACGTGTATGTATGTGTCGGCAAACAACACGCAATGTTTTTCCAGGCATCCCATCTTTTCCACTTGCTAAATGGTTGAAGGTACATGTACCGTACGTACCTTCAATTGTGGAGGAAGGAATTCAAATAGACCTCCACGTTCCAATCAACTTGGCAACAAGAACACCTGAGGCTGTGGCATCCACTTGTACATGCTAAACCTTGATGTACATGTACATGTACTGCCTTCTTCCATTCATTCCTGCTTTGGCAGTGTCCTCTGAACCCTGTTCATTATAATGTTTTTATGGTTGTAATTGTATCAGTAGGCCTGTACTGAGTACCCGAGTGCCAAACAACTAATGTCAATACCTGGTTCCTTTCTTTCCCCCGGTACCGGTGAAAAAAATGCACAAAGAGAAGTAAAACGAAAGAAAAAATTGCCGAGTTGTTTGTTCATTAAGGCACAACCCAGCAGTTCCAGATATGTCCGTTGTCAGAGCCAAAAGGCACACTGTTGGTGATGCAAGGTGGCGTGATCGTGCACAGTATAATCCATAACCAATTCACAAAGATCGGTGAGTGTACTCATCTCCAAGTTTTATTAGCGATCGTGTTCCCAGGGTTCCATCCTTCGGCCACTCCTTTAATCAGCACTGTTCATCTTCCCTGCTACCTTTTTTTGTTTGCTGGAGACAGGACAATTACTGTACATATACCAGTATCTAATCCAATCCTGCTTGTGACCATCTTTTTGTCTCCTCTCTAAACAATGAGCTTATCAATCAAAGCGTCATCCCTGGTTCAAATCTAATAAACTATCTATGAAGTCCATTAAAACAAAATATATCTCATTCAGTAAATCTGGCTGCATGTTTACCTCCCTCCAACTCTGCCATCAGCATCGACAATACCCCCATTTCTACTGTCAGTTCAGTGAAATTCTCAGGTGTTATTCAACTCAGCTTGAGTGACCATATTTCATCTGTCTCCAAGATTGTTTACTGTAACACTGGTGTTTTATCC